AACAAGCTAAATAATTATAAATCATGTAAAATTATAAATAATTTTATACTCTCTCTGGGATAACATTATTACTTTTCATCCTTTTTCGTTGCTCTCTGCTTTAGAACAAACTGCATCTCTACTCAAAACAGACAAATAATTACCACAAATTTACTAAAAGGTGAGAAAACAAAATAAAACAAAAAGAAGGGGGAAAGGAAGATCCCAGGGAAATGGTTAACAGTGATCCAAAAGGGGTACGGATCTGAGTTAATTTCAATGATTGATTAGAGGAAGGGGTTAGAAAAGATGCTAATAGTAACTCCCAAGGAGATATTTCCAGAGCTATGACACTAAAACAGCAATGAATCTAATCACAAAATTTATACAGTCAGCTACTATTAGTGACTTCATTCGCATTTGGAGGCAGGAGTCGGCTACATTTCTGATGTATTGCTTACACTGTGATACAATCTAAAGGTGTTGGCTACTTGTTTGCCCAGCCTAATGGGGAAAAACTGTTGCTGAAAAGATTAAGTTTCGAGAGCTTCTTAATTTATGTCTTTGCAGACATGTCTGTGCATCAAATGAAATAATGCATCACCCAGCCCTAAAGCTTGGCTCACCACTGTCTTGCCCCCTGTGTATTTATTCACCATCACTTTCCAAGGGTGTAAATTACTACACAAGGTGCAAGGCAGAAGAGAATCAGGCCCCCAGTTAATAGTCTACCTGAAGTAGCTTGTGGCTCCAAACAAGGTGGCTGTATTAAGCAGTTACGCTGCGACCAAAGGCAAACAACGAGCCTGATTCTACACTGCTGGAGCCAGACCCTAGCTCAGAGGCTGTTTTGCACCTGTCCACTGGCACAAAACTGGCTTAGCCAGCTACCTGAGGATCTCCCTGGTACAAGGGTAGCCCCATGTGGCATGGGGCTAGAATATGTGGCTCTATGCTACTCCATCCAGTTTCTCTTAGGATAGAGGATGTGGCCAAGGAAGAGGGGCATGTAGAACACCCTTGTTCTCCAGAGATCGTCGTCGGTCACAACAGGTACTTGACGGCCTTTACAGATGGGCACAAGCTAGAGCACCCTTGAAGCTGCTCTAATGTATACGGGGGCCTGCCTCAGGACAGGGGGGCATAAAGGTAGCACACAGCCTCCTTCCAGCTCCCTACTTACCTACAGGACTCCATTGAAGTCATGCTGCCTGAGCTTTCCCAATCCCAACCCACTACTAGCCCTGAAACTCCTCTAACTTTGAGGGAGGTGTGACAGGGAGCTTGTCCTGGGATGCATGTGCCTGTCCCAGCAGCCTGTTTCAAGGGGGTTCCAAGGCAAGGAAAGGGCTCCAAAGGATATGTTATCTAGCCTCAGGCTGCATTAACTTTTCTGAAGACTCCTGGTGAGGTTGGTGGAACAACAATGCACGTCCATTCCTCCAGCCTGGCTTACCTCCTTCCTCTACACCAGGGGTCGGCAATGTTTGGCACGCGGCTCGCCAGGGTAAGCACCCAGGCGGGTCGGACCAGTTTATTTACCTGCTGACGCGGCAGGTTCGGCCAATCGCGGCCCCCACTGGCCGCGGTTCGCTGTCCCAGGCCAATGGGGGCGGCGAGAAGCGGCGCGGGCGAGCGATGTGCTGGCCACGGCTTCCCGCCATCCCCATTGGCTTGGGACGGCGAACCGTGGCCAGTGGGGGCCGTGATCGGCCGAACCTGCCCCGTCAGCAGGTAAATAAACTGGCCCGGCCCGCTAGGGTGCTAACCCTGGTGAGCTGCATGCTGAACGTTGCCGACCCCAGCTCTACACTAAACCTGTGGAAAACTGTTCAGAGATCTGGGAAGAAGTGGTGGGGTGGGACCATGTGCCTGATATAACTAACGTCCCCCTTTGGAGCAGAAAGCATAAGATCTGCACACTGATCTCCGGGAGGTTGAGCTGGCTCTCCTACAGCAATTAATTACACTCCCTGAATTGTACATCTTTGTGTTTTCATCAGAATTGAAGAAGAATTTGAATTGGAGTTGTTTAGGTTGCCTCATATTCTCCTCTCCAGTGTTTTCCTAAGACTAGGATTTGAAAAGCCAATCAGCAGAAGGGACCATCGCCCATCGGGAGGAGGAGGGGGTGGGAGAAGGTATCAAAGAACTGCCATCTGTCCATTCACATGTTTATTAATTAAGTTATAGTTCTCAGGATGTTCCAAGAATAAACCTAGAGTGTATTTTTGATCTGACCTAAAATCATATTTTTTTAAGCGCCTACCTACTCTTCTGTACCATTGTGCAGATTACCATTGTGGCAGATTACTAAATATTACATTGCACTGTAAAAGTGAACACTGGTTTGTCACAGAGCTCAGTCTTAATTCTGTTTGTCTGATAAATCATTGTAAAGTTATATGTTAAGGCAGTTAAGTAAGTCTGGTAACAGTTTTATCCCTTACTATCTCAGATCAGTAGACACAGTGCATTGCCTTGTGGCAGTTTTGGTAGTGCTACTTCAATTACACTCAGTACTGCAAAGGAATCCCGTAGTCATTGTAGTAAAACGATGGTAACTATACACCCGTATAGCTCAAACTTGTAGGTCAACATGGTGTACATTAGTAAGACTGTTGTGTTTTCAGTGAGACAGCACTATGGTTAGGACATACTGTGGACCCAATCCTGAAATCCTTATGGACTTCAGTGGGAGTCTGGCCTATGAAGAGACTTCAGGAATGGTCCCAAGATTAATGTAATTAATTTAGCAGTTTCTTGTAATATTACTACAATAGCTATAGTTCTGCCTTAACCTTCGCCTTCCTGTAAAACCTGTGGGTTTGATTCAGTCCTGCTGCTAGGGATGCCTGGAGTTAGCTGTGCTCTAGAAGTGTTTGCACTGCTATCCACCATCAGTGATCTGCCAAGTGAGGGCAACTTTCAGATGTAGCTGAGACTTCATAGGAGTCCTCTGCCAATAGCTTCTGACTCTGGCTGCCCTGGCCCAGCACTGCACACCTTGAGTCACATTCATCCCTGTTCAGAAAGCCTGCTTAATACATATCAACCGCTTAAATCCCAATTATGTCCCATTTTGAACACCATGTGCTGTACAAGTCTGCGGTGCGCTTTCCACACAGATGTGAACGTCTCCTTGGAAGCTGCATTGGGTGATTGTGGACATCCTAGCAAAGTGGGGAATCACAGGTGCTTTGTGCCTCTACAATCCCACCCCAACAGACTTTGCAGGAGGCATAAGGAATGGCGAAGAAGGCTCCTTTCACTCTCCCCACCTCAGTGCACTCATGCAACGGCCAGGCGCTACCTTGTGACCCTAAATGTGGATGTACTGGGCCAGATCCTCCGCTGCTGTAAATCGGCACAGCTCCATTGAACTCAGTGGGCGAAATCCTCAGAGGGTGTACATCTTCCTAAAACCACTGAAGGCAATGGAGCAATATATCACCACCACCAGAGGATCTAGCCCATAGAATTTTTGGACTACAGACTACTGCATTGTGGAAAATAATGGCTCCTTCTGAGCCATTTCAATCTAAAGGGTGCAAAGCAGCTGCAGGAAATCTCACATTAAAAAATTATTTTGAAGGCTTTGGTGTTAAAATGGCTGTGCAGATGCAATCCTTCCCTTGTTTGAAATGAAATATAATGGACCCTACTGATAGTTTGGGAGAGAGTGAAACTCCATTGAACAGTGAAGTGGAATGAAAGCCCTGAACTGTGTCAGTGCAATGCAATGTGCAGATTGCAATTCCAGTGACAGGGAATTGTCTGGTGATAAGAATGTACCAGTTAAAAAGCTCAAAGGGGATTGTTTCTTTTTCTCTTTTTTGAAAGCTTCAAGTGACCAGTCCATACTATGGATGCCATACGTGTGATGTTACGTTAATTTTTGAGCTTGAAAAGTGGAAGATATTGGAAAAATTTGTTTTCATTCTCAATGTATAAATCAAAAAGATTCCAGTTGTTTTGAAAATTGACCACTAAAAAAACCAACCCCCTCCCAAACTGCAAAGTCTGCAAGGTTTCAGTCTGCTAGAAAGGTTATAAAGCAAGCATGATAGTGGGAATCTGGATAAGCCACCAGTGGCTCTTAACCTTTCCAGACTACTGTACCCTTTTCAGGAGTCTGATTTGTCTTGCGTAACCCCAAGTTACACCTCACTTAAAAACGACTTGCTTACACAATCAGACATAACAATACAAAAGTATCACAGCACACTGGTACTGAAAAATTGCTTACATTCTCATTTTTACCATTATTTTATTTATTTATTATTTTAATTATAAAAGAAATCAATTTGAATATAAATATTGTACTTACATTTCAGTGTATAGTATATAGAGCAGTATAAACAAGTCATTGTCTGTATGAAATTTTAGTTTGTACTGACTTTGCTAGTGCTTATTATGTAGTCTGTTGTAAAACTAGGCAAATATCTAGATGAGTTGATGTACCCCCTGGAAGACCCCTGCATGCCCCCAGGAGTACACGTACCCCTGGTTGAGAACCACTGTCCTAGAGCCCTCACTCAGGCTCTGTCCTGCAATCAGATCCATAAAGGCGAACCCTTGTACCTATGTGGGAGCTCCTGGACCTCAGTGGTCCACTCTGTGGGTGTAAGGGTCTGCCCAGGCAGATCTACTTGCTGGATTGGGTCCTTGGTTCTGACTAGGCAATACTACCCCTGATTTCTTAGTCTTAGGTTTTGGGGACTGATCTTGCTTCTGTGAAAGTCAAAAGCAGAACTCCCACTGACTTTAATGGAAACTGAATTAGGCCCAAGATCTGCTCTCATAGGTGTATGAAAAGAAAGGGTTACAGACTGGTAACAGCCTTATTAACATAAATGCTGATATTCAAGTCCTATAGGAATAATGTATATTTATAAATGCTACAGTGACAGATTCTATAGGAGCCTTTGAAATTCCAAGTGCATGTTTTTGTAAGGGCACAAAGAATGGTTGTTTGCTTGATTTTTGTTTAATCTTTTGATTGCATATTAACTTTCTAGAGAGGGTCGTCTCCAGTAGACCTCAGAGGCTCCAAATGATCTGTGCCAGGTAAGCTACCTATGACAGCAACGTCAAAGCGGCCTCTGGGTTTGTTTGTTTTTATATGCAACCATTTAACTTTAAATGAGCTCCCTTCAGTGAGTTCAGGATGGGTACGTCAGTTCTTACTAATAATCAGACCTGCCATAAGGTAAGCATCAGATTCTGAGAAACTGCAGTAGGGATAGGCACGTAGTGGCTCTATTATTCTCAGACAAGCAGCAGTTCAACAGCATTATGTGTGATTATTTGAGGGGCACAATTTGATTCAGGAAGGTCCTGCTTTCCCAGGCCCTCTGGAGCAGACTTGATGACCAATTTCTCTTGCATAGAAATAGTTGATAGGAATATTGCCAGAAAGAGTTAGCTAAGGCATACAGGGGTCTTGTCTACACAACATCAGAAAATGAATCTTGGGGTTAGTTAAGGCAGGAGAACTCACATTCTTCAGTGACCAAATGCTACTAGAGATGGCCTGAGCCTTGATTTAGCAGCTCATCCTAAAGACAGCACTTCAAACAGGGCAGTAGAGCACCTTTCTCACTCACTCTCTCCTCTGCTAGAGTGTCAGCATTAAAATAGCTCCCCCTCCTCCTTCCCTCTACTGCCAAGGAAAGGTATTTATAATCTGGGAAATTGCTTTTCACTCATCACAGTACCCAAATCTATTTCAGAGGGCCTGGACTCTAGTGTCTGATTTGATTTGATCAATAATAGGGAAGTATTATTGTGAAGTGGCCCCGAGAGGATTGAAGTCATCCCTGGTCACTGCTAGCTGGCACTTTTTAGTCATATAGGTCACCTCAGAGATAACATCCCTGCACCTTAATCCCTGAAGATCGGATTTGAGGTCAGGAGGGGAACATTGCCTGATCATGGACTGGCAGTGGCCATGCTGTCATCCGTGATGAACCTGGCTGCACCAGATTAGTAATAACTCTGTGGAGGTTTTCGCTGCCTGGAATAAAGCTGCACAACGTGGCCATGGACATTCAGCACTACAGACCTTCCCTGTCTAAGCCTCCCATTGTGCTAGGTGCTTTGCACACATAGGCTAGCCAAAAAGACTATTCCCACTTATAGCAGAGAGCAGCTAGCCCGCCTGGCTCCTGCCTCTGCTACGCTCAGATAAAGTCACTCAGACACCCTCGGGTTCTGAAACCACTAGTGCTTTTATTTACAAGTTTGTGCTCCCACCACCTTCTCACCATACAACTTGTACAGCTCTGGGTTCCTTGGGTCTGAACCCAGACAGGAAGGGCTTGTCTCCTTGGGTGCACTCCCTCACTCTCCTCCATCCCACCACCCCATTGCCTTCTTCCCGGTGTCTTATATAGCCCTGGCCTGGCAGCTGGCTCTCATTCCCCAGTTAGGGCAGGTTCTTTCCAGCCAGCTCCACTTTATTCACCTAAATGGAGCTGGAGTGGCAGGGGGCTGATTCTGCAGTGTTTCTGCTCAGTGCCCTGTCACACTGCTCCAAAGAGCTCACACACCTGTAGGTCCAGGGTGGAATATGGCTTTTACACAGTAACTACCCTTTTAATCATCATTGTTCAGTACCTCACTGCTTTGTCCAGTACCACTCCAGGGGACAATATGCTCTGCTGTAGAGCTGGCATCCTTAGCCTCTGTTCTGAATTTCTGAAAGGAGACGCTGCTGAAGTCTTCAGAAAAGTACTGTTCTTAGATGCACGTGCAATTTTAATCAGTGTCTTCAGAAACTTTCAGGAATACACAAACTATCATTTCTCTAACTTGGATACCAGACTCCCTTCTTGCTACCATTACAAACAGGGAAATGGATGTATTCCCTGAAACCATGCTGGGTGGCACAGCTTCCTTCTCACTCGCCACAGTCCCTTGGTAATAGGACCCAGTTGCTAAAACTTGAAAGGGTCCATTAAAGCTAACACCAACGAGCTGGCCAGCGCCTTAGTGGCAGAGTTCTGCACTCTGATTCTTCGTTTCTGACTCTCTAAGTCAGCAAGCTCTAAACACTACAGAAGCAGCACACTCAGCCCTTGAGAAGGGAAGAGAACTTCATAGTGTTAAATCCTCCATGGCCAGTTAAGGAGTTCTACTCAGTGCTTGGGAGCTGTGTGGAGTCTGAAAGAGGGGTACTGGAAAGCTTGGTAGCATAGCATGCAGCCTTGAGGATGGGGATACCAAGCAGGGCAAAGGGGATCACAAGGAGAGGAGAAGAAGAGCCTTGCAGCCTTTTTCTAATAGTCGTCCTTACCACAGGCTAACACCTAGAATTTGAGTCCCAGTATCTTGCTCCCCTAACCAGCAGGAGCTGGTATGTTTTGCCTGAGGTGAGAATTGAGCAATCATCCATCACAGCCTAGAGTAGCTAAGACCTGACTTTTTCCAAAGCTGTGTGCTCTAGTGTCTCGTTTTTTTAACATCCTCTCTCCACACCCAAAGCATGAGGCACTCTGTGCAGCAGAAGCATTAGAGGAATGAAACAGTAGGACACATGGGTGATACCAGTCCTCTGATGTCATTTAGAGGGGAAGCACCAGCTGGGGTAGTCAGTAGAAACACAACAGGCCAAGCTCTGATGTGCCACCTGATGCTGAAACACCAGGAGCAGAGCAAACAAAGTAAAAGCTGTAAAACCAAAAGCACTGTTTTTATTTGTTTGCTTGTTTGTTTGTTTTCTCTCTTTCACTTCCTAGTCTCCCAGCTGCAGTTGTCTCTGGGAGTCAGCCACTTGCCATTGACATTTGCTGGGCATATTTTCTTGTTTAAAACATTCATCCTGAGCAAGTGATTCACATCGGCACACCTCCAACCCATTTACAGCCTAATTGCACAGCCAAACTGGAGGGTAGGAGATGGGGAAAGGATATTTGATTTGGCTTCTTAATTCTGAACGCAAATCTGGAGGGCCACTGAAGGTATATCTCTTCACAGCAAAGAAAAACCCATGGCTTGCCCATGCCAGCCTACTCGGGCTTGCAGCACTCGGGGTACGGGGTTGTTTCATTGCTGTGTAGACTTCCAAGCATGGGCTGGAACTCGAGCTCTGGGACCCTCCCACCCTGCAGGGTCCTAGAGCCTGGCTCCAGCCCGCGCCCGAAAATCTACACAGCAATGAAACAGCCACAGCACGAGCCGACTTGCTGCATTGACATACTCTGACAGGTCTAGCAGAGTATTGGCAAGTTGACATTTGACATTTTCTCACCTATACATTTCTAAGAGTCTGACCATACCAGTAACTTGTGAGGTTCTAGTTATGACACATGTAATATACAGCCCTCAGTAATTGCTGGCGTCTTTTTTTATTCCAAGCCCTTTCTTTGCTAAGTAACAATTTATCTTCAAAAGGGAGAAGGGAGGATTCTAAACAGGTTATTTGGAAATAGGTCTGAACCAAATTCTTGGACATATGCACCCTCAAAATGGAGTAAGTTCCATGAAGCTCCAAACTTCAGGACAGGCCTCTATCTCCATAACGGGCATACCCAAATTCCCCAGATTGTGCACCCCCCTCTCTCCCCCAAGCTTTAAGGAAGTTCAGATCCAGATCTGGTTCCAGATCTTAGCTATCTGACTTGGACCCATCTCTGGTGCAATTTATTTCTCTTGCTTTTCTAGGCTGGGCCAGGTGCCAGGAGCTGAAGACCTGGCATCGAAGATGTTAAAAGCTTTTCCTCGAGAGCGGGTCTCTGCACAGGATGCACTTGTTCATAACTTCTTCAGCGCTCTGCCGTCTCGGCTGTATCAGCTTTGTGATGGTACGTTATCTCCTGATCTCATCTCCGGAAAAAGGGAGCTCCTTCACATTTGATTTGTTAAGAGCATCCCTAGTAAATTCAAAGCCTGAGGGCTCCTGCTAGGCTCCCATAAGCTGCAAAGTTTTGGGGCTCTGAGCTGCAGTTTGAACAAGTGTTAGCTTTTTCCCCAACACATGACAATATCTTAATATTAGTAAGGAACATGAAGGGGACCTTAATAATGGGGGTTCATTGAAAAAGGAATGGTGTGAATGCCTTGATGTAGTGCCATCCTTCCCCAATTGTGTAACTACGTGTCCAAAGTTCTTTCCTAGAGCTGGGTGATGCTGTATTTTCAGAGGGAGTAGTTTCATTCAAATTGCGATTTGCTCATATCCTGAATTCCCAGCTGCTTGGCGCAATGTGTTAGCCCTTGTTCCCCGAAATAGACCTCCTGCTGCCTTTTGAAGTTTGAAGACACCAGCTGTCCCTTGCATCCTGTCATACCAGCTCTCCCTTGGAACTACCTGCATTTACTTCTCTCTCCCTCTGCAGCTCACTCATCACATACAAACAAAAAACACCCATTCACATACTACCCCAATACCTAAAGAGAATGGTGCCTGCTTAGCTACGGAGCTGGAAAAGCTCTTCCTCACCCTGTATAATGTGCCCAGTGGTCCTGGCATTCTCCAAAGATTCCTGGGCACCAGCTCCTTTTCTAGATAAGGGTGATTAAGGAGGAACCTTCCTGGACCAAGCTGCAAAATTATTTGAAAACTTTCGTTTTTGGATTTTCTGACATATCCCAAGTAAAGCGGCTTGCAGCTAGCATCTCTCCTGCACTGCCACCCTTCTGAAGGTGCTGTGTGTGTGAGAGTGAGTGAGAGAGACACATCTGTATTCCTTTTCTGTTCACCCAGTCACAGAGCACAAATCTACTTTGACACTTTCAGAAAAATGAAAAGATGGAATCTCGCAGGAGCCTGCCTGTGCCAGGGGGGAGGAGGGGAGCACTCACAGCAGGAGGGAAGTTGACTTTTCTTTATACATATACGGTTTTTTCCATGCAGAGTTTAAATTATGCCTGATAAAAGGAGTTTCGTGGCTGTTTCAGTTCTTTCAAACCCTCCTGGCTTCCTCCCAATTAAATGAGGTTTGTCAAAGCCACAGGGCTCTGCTGCTGCCGGAGAGGCGGACAAGCACTTCCTGCAGTGACATCTCAAATCCCCAAGGGAGGAGATGAAAGTGCGAGTGCCAAAAGACAGAGAAAGAGAGAGTGTGGAAAAAATAGGTACAGAGACAGACAGACAGTAAGACAGAGAGGGGCAGAGAGACAGAAAGGAGAAATAGGAGAGGGAATGAGACAACAGATTGGCACAATGTATCACTCTCCTGGACAAGATATAATATCCCAGGCATATTTCCATACAGGGGATGAATTCTTTTCACATGGATTTATATACCATCTCGTGTTTATTGTCACTGGTATTGCACTGCATAGCAGTGAGAGGCACCTCAGTGGACAAGAAATTACATGTCGTTAGCATAGCAACGAATATGCTGGGAACAACATTAAAGTCTATTGGATTGAAACAAGTACAGTATGATTGTACAAGATCATATTCATGAGCAACTCATTAGGACTGTACAAATTAGGCAAGTTTGAATAATTCCCAACGCAGCCATCTCCAGTGCTATGATCATGTAAGACATTTGTTCTCCTGTGTCATTTTGGTATCACATCATTTTGGAATTGAAATTTTGCATTCTGGTTGCTATGATAACGGTGCAGATTTTAAATATGTTCTGTTCCTACTCTGTTCTGAAGGATGCTGGGGGGTAGTTTCTATCCTCAGAAGGAGAAAGTTAAAGCAGGAGGGCAAAGAATGAGATGGTGATAAAGGTAAAAGGGGGGGTTAGACTTCAAGGGATGCAGGGAGGAACCAAAATAAGAGGGAGAGAAACCAACATAATCAACATAAAAAAAATGCTCCCCCTGGAAATTCTTTTCTCTTTTTGTGAAATAATTGTAGCCTGAACTGTCCTTTACATAAGTTGCCCTGACAAGTTTGTAGCCAGAGGATATCTCCTAAAGGTTACTTCTGAGGGGAAAGTGGGGAACCAATGATTCAAAGGCAAGAGCCCTCCTAAATAGCATCTTTGTGATTACTGAAATGAATGCTAATGGACAGACAGTGGCTGCTGGCCTGTGAGCCTGAGAGTTGGGTGACAGGAAGCAGGGAGCTCTTTCTCCCCGCTTGAGAACCTGAGTAGAGGGGGCGAGAATGCCGGTCTTTCTGCTCCATTGATACAAGATTGTGCACCAGATTGTGTACCTCCCCCCTCCTCCCCCACAAGCTTTAAGGAAGTTAAATAGGCAGCAGGTTTAAAACAAATAAAAGGAAGTTCTTCTTCACACCGCGCACAGTCAACTTGTGGAACTCCTTACCCGAGGAGGTTGTGAAGGCTAGGACTATAACAGCGTTTAAAAGAGAACTGGATAAATTCATGGAGGTTAAGTCCATTAATGGCTATTAGCCAGGATGGGTAAGGAATGGTGTCTCTAGACTCTGTTTGTCAGAGGGTGGAGATGGATGGCAGGAGAGAGATCACTTGATCATTACCTGTTAGGTTCACTCCCTCTGGGGCACCTGGCATTGGCAACTGTCGGTAGACAGGATACTGGGCTAGATGGACCTTTGGTCTGACCCAATATGGCCGTTCTTATGTTCTTAAGATACTGGGGAAGTGGTGTAACCCATGCTAAAAGAGTATGAGTTTTACTCCTCCCTCTACTGGTTGGTCCACATAAGAAGCTGCCAGCTAATGTACTCCACCTTTAGCGCCAATGACAGAGATTCAGGCTTTCAGCACTGTAGGTTATAGGTTCAAACCCCACTCACAGTCCAGCTAGGCTCAAATACATCAGCACCCCAGTACTGCCGTATATTGAAGGGTCACGGTCCTGCCTTTTTCAGGATGAGCTGGTAGTGTGGAGCCGGCAATGCTGTCCCCTTTAAAAAGGTGTCGCAATTTTCACTCCTTCTCACCCTGAGCTACCCTATGACACAGCCCCCTGCCACAGCAATGCAGCTAAAGCCACAAGCTAGATCTGTGAATTGCCTCCTGCTGCCTGGTACGGCTCAGTGTTTACTGCCTGAACACCAGCATGTCGGATGAACCATTTATGTGGAAAAACAGAGCTCCCTCTTCCTTTCATTCTAGTACCCCACTTCTCATGGCCTTACACTAAGGTAGCCCCCGAGGTTGTGTGCCACCAGAACTAAGGCAGAGTAATATTTGCCATAGCTGCAAATTTAGTCTATTTTTACATTTCGTTTGCCTTCAAAGGCTTTAGAGCTGTCCTTTGGGATGGGAAGGCAGCAAGCTGCGGCACTTTGTGGATGCAGGGCCGGCTCCAGGCACCAGCTCAGCAAGCAGGTGCTTGGGGCGGCCAAGGGGAAGGGGCGGCATGTCGGGCTCTTCGGCGGCGGGTCCCTCGGTCCCTCTCGGAGGGAAGGACCTGTTGCCGAAGTGCCGCCGAAGAAGAAAGCAGCGCAGTGGAGCTGCTGCCGATCACGATCGCGTTTTTGTTTTGTTTTTTCCGCCGCTTGGGGCGGCAAAAACCCTGGAGTCAGTCCTGTGTGGATGGCACCAATATAGTCCTGTAGGAAGAACTTAACTAGAGAGCAGCTTCACCCAAGCACCCAAGACTGTGATGCTTGATTACCAGGGATAGAGGAAGCACAGAGGTCTGAGCTTGATGTGCCTTCAAGTTCCCATTGGACTAAAGGCCCAGCTCAACAGAAGCTGTAACAGCTATAACAAAGTGGGTGACATTCAGCCCTGTGCAGAGGATCAGCCCAAGGCCTATGGACCATTAAGGCTCACTCAAGTCCTATTTTGAGGAGCTAAATAAGAGTTAAGTGGTGCACGGGCCTGATGCTGGGCCTTTGCTAGGAGGGAATTTCACCCTTTGTGAACTGGTGATGAGAGATTTCAAGACATGCAAGAGTGCTTCCCAGCCACCTTCAGGCACACACGGTGTGTCTGCTCTGCCTGATTGGCCTAAAATTCCCCATTGTTGCTATCACCACTTCAGTTTCAGTGTGTGGGGGTGTGGGCGTCAACAGGGCACAGGCCTTTTAGCCGCTGTATCATGTAACTCTGCTCAGAGCAGGCCTAGACAACTCAGTGGTTAAAACAGCACTACTCTAGTCAATGCCTATACTAGAGCTTCCACTGCTGCTACCACTGGCCCAGCTGCACCGGTGGGAAATTTCAGAGCAGCGTAGTGTAAAGTCAATAGGCAGCCTGCAGGAGGCTTCTGTCTGTGAAATAATCTCTTGACTGAGTCAGCTGCTTTGATTGGATTTTCAATCACAGTTGAAAAGTTTATGTACTCGCATCAGTGTCTGACCACGTGCCTGATCCACCGCTGAGTTCTGCCGTTTGGATGGAGACATCCTCAGGACTCACTGTTAGACACCTCATGTTGAAAGTCAATTTTAGATGCATTGGAAGTTTTAAGGCCATTTTAAATGTCTAAATCCAGTTTTAATATATCTTATATGGGAGTGACTCAAAGTTCTGCCCTTGGTGTTAAACAACAAGCTCAATTCATGCTGGCCCATGAATCAAAGCAATCCTTTCTATAGGGCAGGGGTGGGCAAATTTTTTGGCCCGAGTGCCACATAAGGGAATAGAAATTGTATGCCAGGCCATGAATGCTCACAAAATTGGGGTTGGGGTACGGGAGGGGGTGAGGGCTCTCATTGGGGGTGCAGGCTCTGGGGTGAGGCTGGGAATGAGGAGTTTGGGGTGTAGGAGGGTGCTCTGGGCTGGAACTAAGGGGTTCAGAGGGCAGGAGGGGGATCAGGGTTGGGGCAGGTGTGCAGGAAGGGGGGGCAGGTTCCAGCTGGGGGTGGGGGCTCTGGTGGGGGGCTGGGGATGAGAAGTTTGGGGTGCAGGAGGGTGCTCCGGGCTGTGATCGAGGGATTCGGAGAGCAGGAGTAGGATTAGGGCTGGGGCAGAGGATTGGGGCGTGGGGAGAGGCTCAAGGGTGCAGGTTCTGGGCACTGCTTACCTCAAGCAGCTCCCAGAAACAGTGGTATGTCTCTTCTCCAGCTCCTACGTGGAGGCACGGCCAGGCGGCTCTACACGCTGCCCCATCCGCAGGCACCGCCCCTGCAGCTCCCGTTGGAGTGCCGGAGAGGGCCATTGGGGCACGTAGGAGCCGAAGTGGGGCCATGCCGCGGCTTCTGGGAGCCGCGTGGAGCGGCCCCTGACCCAGTGCCCTGACTGGAGCACCAGAGCGGAGCCGAGCCATGTAGTGCGGCCCCCAACCAAGCGCCCCGGCTGGAGCGCTGGAGCGGAGCAAACCCCAGACCCCGCTCCACAGCGGGAGCTCGCAGGCCGGCTTAAAACGGCTCGCGAGGCGTATCCAGCCCGCAGGTTGTAGTTTGCCCACCCCTGCTATAGGGTTATTTCGGGACAATTTTCCAAATCTTTTCTCATTCCTTACTTAGGCAAAATTCCCATCAGCCTCAAGTGGCCTGATTTTCAGAGAGGCTGATCTATATGGGAGTTCTGCCTGTGTAAAGACTGAGTGCCTTTATACCACAGCTGTTGGTAGCAGCCAATGCAAAGGTGCATCACCCTAGAGCAGGAGCTCCTGGAGGCCGAGTACCTGAGGCACAGGCCTCTGGAAATGCAGCCTCTGCTAAACCCTTTGAAGTGCCTGCAGCTGATCTCGTGCTGCCTAAGCGCAAGGAGTAGGACTGTGCCTGGCCCCTGCTGTACAGGAGCACAGGAGAGTAGGGATGGGAAGGAAGGAAGGTTCCCTGTGCCTATTCCCCCATTCATGCTCCTGAAAAAGTACAACTAGCCTTGAGTATAAACCTCAAATTTTGGCCCATATGCGCTCTGGCAAACTAAGTGCAACAGACAATGCTGCTCTCAGTCACACTGGTGTAAATCCAAAGTAACTCTACAGTGTTTAATAAGTAAATGTTCAGTCAGCAGAACATCCATGACTGATGAGTGCTGTTAATACCCTTGAATATTACAGACACCACACACTAACAAGTTACTAGACAGTCTGTCTTATTTTGTCTAATTACAAAATTGTATTAGAGGTTTCTTTAAGTAGCACTTTTCCTTTAAGACGATTACAGGCAAATCTAAAAAGATTTAGTTGTCTTGTTTGCTGTGAAAGGTGCTGAGACCAGCAATACCATTTAGTCACTTTCCACTCTCGACTGCACTTCTGCCTTCATCAGGTTATCAGCAGAGAAGCGTAAATGGAGATGCAGTGATCAGATTTCTAAGGCACAAAAGTTAAAGCTAAGTTTGAGACAGTGACAGCAAGCAGCCATGAGCCTAGGAACTCAATTAGTCTGAAAGACAACTATCTCATTATCTTTCCCAAAATGATATAAATACATAGGAACATAAAAATTTAAAATAAACTCTCTCTATTGACTGTCTAGATGACTGAATTTCCCTTCTCAATTTCTTTAAACACCCACTTTAGTATTTATTTATTCTAAGCGCGAAGCAGCTGTGATAATTAGACTGTCAGATTCGGTAAGTTAATGAGGAGTCACTGGAGTGGAAGGTTTTGCATTTGTGAGATTGCTGAAGGAGAGAAGCTCTATGCCTTCGCTCTCTCGTTCTCTTTTCTTTTTCTTTCTTTTCTCCCTCCACTGGGTGGGAAGGAGAGAGCTTGGCAGTGCACAGATCGATCTGAATCCTTTTGATTAGCGGGTTGCATTCCCACCACTGTTCTGCCAAATAATGTTTTCCTATTGTCTGTTTGTTTTAAAAAAAGGAGCAAACAGACAAAAACATAGATGAGATTTTTAGGGGCAAGGGAGCCCGAGTTTAAGAAACACACCTGCATTCTCTCCTTCCCTCTCCAAAAATGCATAAGAAAGTGAGCTCTGAGAAAGAAGTTTCCAAACTAATTTATGTCGGGTGATATGAACTGCCAGTAGTGGCAAAGTAATAATGTAAGATTCCCCCTTCCTCACTCTTTACAAATGGAGGTACTGTAAAGCAAGGAAAGTGATTACAGGTTTGCTTCAACTGAATCTTGAACAAAGGAATTTCAGCAGGTCTGCAGTTAAAAAGTTTCCCTCTTTCCACTGGCTAAACAAAGTTTCGGTGGATTTTAGTTAACTAAAGGGGGACCTGATCCTGCAAAGCAGACAATTAATTTTATTCATGTGATCAGTAATGAGATTGCTCATGCGCTGAAGTGTTTGTGGGATCAAGTCCACAGCTAATATGTTTTACAGCATCCTATATTTTGTTTTCTAAACTGCCTGCTCCTGAATTAAATGCCATATTTTTAACACCAGGAGTTGGGGACAACTGTGATTCAGATAAACAGTTTATCTGCACTAAGACTAATTCCAGTGGAAGGATTTGCCTGGGTGAACGTTCCACGTATACAAAACTATATTTCTCTGAACAGTGGCTTTGGGAAACATTAGGCAGATCAGAGTTTCTCTGGTGTCTCTGCGGCCATTGCTGCTCCCACCCACAATTTTAGGTTAAGAAGCAGAGATATTTGCAGGTGGAGTGAGAGTGCAGATGATACAGAGCAGGTCTGTTGAGGAAAACATCCTTTTCAGTCTCTCTCCTCAAACTTGGTTTTTCCACAGCACAGTCACTGTTTACAGTTCCGGGAGTGAGGCTGCAGCCAGAAATCTGTGACCTATTTGCTCCTTACCAGAAGGGTCATCGCCAAGCCAGTTCAAGCAAGTTTTGGTGAAAAACAAGAATGTTCAACGGCCTTTTAGGTGAGGAACTAAAAGAACAGTGTTTGTTTTACACTATAGAAGCTACTGCCAACATCCTCAACAAATGAGATCCCATAACGAGTCCCCATGTGGGCTGGTAAGGCCCTAAGGTGGGGAGAGCGGGACAGAAAAGGGTTACAGCCTCTCATCCCATGGCAAAACCCATGGCTGAGGAAAGGTTAAGCAGGAAATTCTAAAAAGTTCTTATTCCTGAGCTTCCATCCAGGTGGAGGAAAGGGGGACTGCAGGCTTGTAGCCTCCAAACACAGCTGCACCGACATCCACAACAATATCCTACAGCTCTCAGAATAGCCAGACAGAGGGCAGACCCTTCTGCCACTAACCATGGGCCCTCTCCCCTACCCACCATCTGGAGGGTGTAGACAGGGGGAGGAGCAGACTCTGCAGGAGTTATAGCTCATAAGGTTAGCAGCATTAGCTCCCATGGTAACTTCCCCATCTCTGTTTTTAATAGCAACATGTTTGCCATATCAGCTCTCCTAACTCTCAGACCAGTGCCCTCCCTGTGAGGCCAGAACGCTCCCCCTTCCCCCGCACCTCAAATATTTTTGAATTTTATGTCATTCATAATTACGAGACCGCTTAACGTTTTTCTTTGCTTGGTCTGCATTTGCCGATGGGTAATTAATCAAGTTTTACAGTTAGCTTCTGAGCATGATCAGCAGTTAATTTTTTTCAAACTTGCTATTGGTATTGGTTTCCCAAACATTTTTCAGTCATACAAAGAGATTACTGTTGAAGTAACTGGGGAAAGGTATAGGTGCTCTACTCATCTGAACAGGGTTAGTCATAACAAATGTTCCCTGTCATGCTTAGATTTTGCACTATACACATTCCTTCAGGGGCGTCTATACCCTACATTAGATTATCTGAGCCTAGGAACCACTGACGGATGGCTTCTCAGCTCCTGGGACTGCTCTTTGTCATATTAACCTATTCTAGTTCTCCACAGATCTGGAGGCTGGAATTTATTGTGTAGGCCTTTTCCTTTTAGGGTTAAAAATGCCAAAAAGTGGGCATATTTCCTACACCCAGGTATACTCCCCACTACCACTCATATCTTCATTATCTAAGGCTATGTCTACACTTACAGAGTTTTTGCACTCTTAGTTTCACCGGTGATAGGGAACCAGTAAAAGAAAAGCGCTGGTTTGTGTACTCACTGACTTCCATAGGTGTCAGATCCTGTTCACATCTGCAGCACTTCCATCCCCAATGAGAACAGCGCACTGAGGGCAGCTATCCCACAGTGGAGCTCTCTCCATTTTGAGGATAGGTCTTGTGGGAAAGGGAGGGGGTGATTGTGAGGCATCCTGGGCCCCGGCACAGCCTCCTCTCCCCAGACACTGATCAGCTCCAGTAGCTCACATTGCTCCAAGCAGGGGAGGGTTTGCTCCATGGAGCCGGCATTGTCACCTGGCCAGATGATAAGTGAGCGCTTGCCAAGAAAACAGGAAGGGGAGTTTCAAAGTTCCCGGAGCTTTACAGGGGGAGGGGTGGACGTCTGTTTACCTGGGGTCAAAGCAGCAGAGCTGCTGGCCAGAGTGGTCACCTAGGCACCGTGGGATATCCTCCGGAGGCTAAAAAACTGTGTAAATGGAAGAACATGTCTTCACTTGCACATCACTGCAAAGTATCACCAGTAAGGACTATACACCTCTCGCGGAGGTGGTTTTCTGTTTGCGGTGAAACTTCTGAGTTTCACCGCAAAAAGTCATGGGCAAGTGTAGATGCTCCCACAGTTTTTGCGCAAAAAAGGGACTTTTTGCGCTTTAAATGACAAGTGTAGACATGCCCTGAGTAACCCAGCACACATGCCATGGATCAGATTATGCTTTCAATTACATCATTGTAAAACCAGGACCACTTCATTAGATGGAATTACTTCGGGTTTAGATCAGCATAACAGTATTATCAGAATTTGGTCCTATGTGTGCTCTAATGTCTGAGAAGAGCTAGGTAAAGATGCTGAAATTGCCTTAAATCATAACAGCATTGATTTTACACGGTGTGTATTTCAGTTTTACTGGGAAATTGTTAACTTAAAAATCCCGTTTCAGTCTGAATACCTTTTACCTACTATTGCAACAAATAACACCTCAGATCACTATTACTGAAAGAAAATACAGAAAAAAAGTTCCATTTTTTTCCAGTCTGTTTACTTTGTGCATTTGTCAGGAGATTTTATGCAGTCAGTTTTGCTGTTTTCTCTGTGCAGTCAGATATGTGATCAGGACCTGAGTAACTTTATTCTTGTCAGTAATTCCATCGAAGGCTCTAGACTACTCACTTGAGTAAAGTTATGCTCGTGCTTCAGTGTTTGCAGGATCAGAAACTTAAATTAGTTTCCCCTTTTTTTTGAGTCTTTCACACACAAAATTTTTAAAATAGCACAACCACAAAAATAATTAATTTTTAAAATATTTACTAGATTTCATGTTGACACTGTTAGTTCTTATTTCCCCATCACACACACACACACACTCTCTCTCTGTCTCTCTCTCTCTCTCTCTCTCACACACACACACACACACACACACACACTTGTCTTACATACTAGACAAGTTAAATGTCAACTCAAGTTCTCTTCCAATGTTCAGTTACTGAGATGTAATCTAGTAGTGTACGAATTTAGATTTTTTTATTTATATATTTTTTTTAAAAGAATGAGATGTTAAATGTAATAGAAATGTTTTTAGTATTTTAAAAGCTGCCAATCAAAAGTAGGTTTAACATAATCTAAATAACGGTAACTTGGCATCTAAAGCACAACATTGTGCTCATGTATGAGAAAGTGAAACTGACTAGAAACAGTGAAACTGGCAGCCTGCTTTCACTACACAACCTGAATGTGATACAAAAATAAAAACAAAGAACAGAACATAAAAGGTTCAATGATGGCTTTGCCAGGAACCCACAGTAAGGGGCACCCCGTCATTGTCCCAATCTCCTCCCTGTACTCCCAGTGCTCTGGGAGGAAATAAACTGTACCACGTCCAAATCCAGGATGTCATATGTTCCATGCCATAGCTCCATTCAGTCTCCACCCGGTTGTATCTCCGACCATCCATTGGACGGAGGGGGAATTTAGTGGCTCTGAGGAGCCTACTTCCCCTCTTACGCTGGTACCCTTAATACAAATATCTAATGCAGGGGCCCCTTTATAGCTTTGTGCTACTGAACTAGCTGGGCCCCAGGGGTGTCCACGCAAAGCTTAGAGTTGTTTCAAATTTATCTTTAATAATAATCAAAGTCACTAAAGCAAATACATCTGCAGAATATTTGGGATTATACATTTTTTCTTTCAATTTATAGATTTAGCCCATCAAGAACTTTCTAGGCACAAGATTTTTATCCTGATAGCATTCTTGGTTATAGGGGCAGATTCTGCTCTCTGTTACACATGTGGACATCGGGCATGACTCCTCAGAAGTCAGCAGATTTGCACTGATGTAACTGAGAAGACAGTCTGGTCCAGGGAGATTTCTTTATAAAAGTCACCTTTCAATGGGAAAAAAGGAGACAGTGCAGATGCCCTGATGTGTCTTTTGTATTTTTTAGAAAGCAACGTCAGGAAGATTGACTTGGCAACCAAGAACTAAAAGCACAGTCTAGAGTTTGGACCTTCCAAATAAACCCAGCCATTTGTCTCTTAATAGAGAGATCCCTGGACCAGAAGATTGATGAACAAACAGGACTGATGGGGGTTGACAATTGAAAGAAAGTAGGGACTGATCCAAGGCTTACAGAGACCTGTCAGGCCTGGGGCTTGCCTACAATCTCCTCCAACAAAAGAGCTCCTGAGGGAAGGAGGGGATTAGTCTAAAGTTGAGTGAAGTTTCCAGGGAAGATGGTTTCTTGGATAAAGTCATCAACAAAAGGAATTGTTTGAGACTATTTGTTATAATTTCCAAGGGGGAGCTTCTGCCATTACTAACAGGATTATCACTCTACCGATTCCACACCAGCAGAGCATTAGAAATGTGCATTGTGGGCCAGCTGTTTAGAGCCTAATTCAGAGGTCTTCTTATGCTGTATCCAAAAGATGTGTAGGTGTTGATGAGGGCGAGGGCAGTGAGGAATTAAGATGATTGAAAACAAAGATTGTTTATGGTAAAATTGTTGCACAGAGCACTGATGGGCTAATGAGTTACCAGCTGGTTTTAATCCCCTAGATCTCTGGGCTGCTGACAGACTGTGAACAGAAAAGGTGCTCTCTGATGTCTCCTGACGGAGAAGGCTGGTGGGAGTAGCTGGGAGTTCTTTTACTCCTACCACATTTCTCACAGGGATTCTTCCTGGAAGAAGTTAGAAGAAGAGTTCTTACTAACAGTGCTTTTCTCTGTTTCATTCAATCATCTGAAGCACCTTTGCTCATCTCCTAGTATTTGGGGAAGTCCAGAAACTGGAAGCCTCAGCATAGCCTCAAAGCAAAGCTGTGAGGGAAATTTAAGCAAAGAAATGATTCTAAAGGCCTGATCCTGCAAACCTTACATGCATGAATAATCCTCATTCACTTAAGTAGTGCCATTGAAGTGGATGGGAGACCTTGTATGAGCAAGGAATATGCTGATGATTAAAGTGTGCAGGATAAGACCCTAAATCAGTGATGACTTAGGACATACTTTGAATTTCTTAGCATATTTCACAATCTTAAAATACGATCTAGCTTGACAGGGAGACGAACTATGACTTTTCAATTTCTACATTTTATGGACCTAATTCTGATTTACACTAAGTCCCCTTCACACAACCTCAATGTGGGTGTTACTTATGCCTACTTTCCCGCTCCTTTACAGTGTCACAGGGAATTTAGTGTAACTAATATGACCCTCTGATTCTGATTTTGAGCTGATTTGTGCAGCTTTAAATCAGGAATAATTCCACTATTCAATGGGGTTATACTGGTGTAGGTGTGGGATAAGCAAGAGCATAGATTCATAGATTCCAAGGCCAGAAGGATCCATTCTGGTCATTTATTATGACCTCCTGTATAGCACAGGCCATAGAACTTCCCCAAAATAATTCCTGGAGCAGATCTTTCAGCAATCTTGATCTAAATGTTGTCACTAATAGAGAACCCACCAATTTACCCTTGGTAAATTGTTTCAATGATTAATTACTCTCACTGTTAAAAATATATGCATTATTTCTAGTCTGAATTTGTCTAGTTTCAACTTCTAGCCACTGGACCATGTTATTCTAGCTGAGAAAGATGGAGAGCATCTTTCTCTGCTAGAATAAAGAGCCTGTTATCAAATATTTGTTTCCCATGTAGGTACTTACAGACTGCAATCAAGTCATCCTTTAACATTCTCTTTGTTAAGCTAAATAGATTGAGTTCCTTGAGTCTAGCACTATAAAGCAGGTTTGCTAATCCTTGAATCATTTTTGTGGCTTATCTCTGAACCCTCTCCAATTTATCAACATCCTTCTTGAACTGTGGAAACTAGAACTGGACACAGTATTCCAGCAGTGGTTGCACCAGTGCCAAATTTAGAGGTAAAATAAGCTCTTTACTCTTTCTCGAGGTTCCCCTGTTTATCCATCCCAAGGATCACAACAGCCTTTTTAGCTACTGTGTAACACTAAGAGCTCACTTTCAACTGATCTTTTTCAAAGTCACTGCTTCCTAGGACAGAGTCCTCTGTCTTGTAAGTATGGCTAGATTCTTCGTTCCTAGATGCACACCTTTACATTTAGCCATATTAAAATGTATATTGTTTGCGGTACAGTTTACTAAGCGATCCAGATGGCTCTGTATTAATGAGCTGTGCTCTTCATTATTTACCACTTCCTCATCTTTTGAGCCATCTGCAAACTTTATCAGTAATAATTTTATGTTTTCTTCCAGCTCATCAATAAAAATGTTACATAGTGTCGGGTCAAGAACAGCTCCCTGTGGGAACCCACTAGAAACATACCCACTTGATTAATGATTCCCCATTTACAATTACATTTTGAGACCTATTAGTTAGCAAGCTTTTAAGCCATTTAATATGTGCCATGTTAATGTTATATAGTTTTATTTTTTTAATCAAAACATCATGCGACACCAAGCCAAAGGCCTACAGAAGTCCTAAGTACATTACCTCAACACTATTATCTTTATCAACCAAACTTTTCAACTCATTAAAAAAAAAAAGATATCAAGTTAGTTTGACAGGATCTATTTTCTATAAACCTATGTTGATTGCTCATAAATATATTATCCTCCTTTAATTCTTTATTCATTGAGTCTCCTTTGAGCCACTCCATTATCTCGCCCCAGGATCAATGTCAGACTGACAGGCCTATAATTATCCAGGAGATCCCATTTACCCGTTTTAAATGATGGCACAACATTAGCTTTCTTTCAGTCTTCAGGAACTTCCTCAGTATTCCAAGTCTTATTGAAAATCAACATTAACCATCAGTTCTTTTAAAACTCTTGGATGCAAGTTGTAAGAACGGCCATACTGGGTCAGACTGTCCCGTCTTCTGACAGTGGCCAACGCCAGATGCTTCAGAGAGAATGAACAGAACAGGGCAATTATCAAGTGACCCATCCCCTGTTGTCCAGTCCCAGCATCTGGCAGTCAGAGGATTAGAGACCCTCAGAGCATGGGGTTGCATCCCTGACCATCTTGGCTAATAGCCATTGATGGACCTATCCTCCATGAATTTATCTAATTCTTTTTTAAATCCAGTTATACTTGCGGGCTTCACAGCATTCCTGGCAATGAGTTCTTCAGGTTGACTGCATTTTGTGAAGAAGCACTTCTTTGTATTTGTTTTAAACCTGCTGTCTGTTAATTTCAAAGTTACTCCTGGTTCTTATGTTGGGGTAAATAATACTTCCCAATTCACTTTCTCCACACCATTTACGATTATATAGACCTCTATCATATCCCACCTTAGTCGTCTCTTTTCCAAGCTGAACAGTCCCTCTCTTTTTAATCTCTCCTTATATAGAAGTTGTTCCATACACTTAACCATTTTTGTTGCTCTTCTCTGTACCATTTTTAATATATCTTTTTTGAGATGGAGTGACCAGAATTGCATGCAGTATTCCAGGTGTGGGCAAACCATGGATTTATATAGTGACATTATGATATTTACTGTCTTATTATCTATGACTTTCCTAATGGTTCCTAAGCTAACATTGTTAGCTTTTTTTGGCTGCCGCTGCCCAATGAGCAGATGTTTTCGAGAACTATCCACAACGACTCCAAGATCTTTTTCTTGAATGGTAAAAGCTAATTTAGACCCCATCATTTTGTATGTCTATTTGGGAATTACATTTTCCAATATGCATTTATCAATACTGATTTTCATCTGCCATTTTGTTGCACAATTGCCCAGCTTTGTGAAATCCCTTTGTAACTCTTCACAGTCTATTTTGGACTTAACTATCTTGAGTAATTCTAGATCATCTGCAAACTCTGCCACCTCACTGTTTACCCCTTTTTCCAGATCATTTCTGAATATGTTGAACAGCACTGATCCCAGTACAGATCCCTGGGAGACACCGCTATTTACTTCTCTCCATTCTGAAAACTGACCATTTATTCCTTCTCTTGGTTTCCCATCTTTAACTAGCTACTGATCCATGAGAGGACCTTCCCTCTTATTCCATGACTCCATGGTTGCTTAAGAGTCTTTGGTGAGAGACTTTGTCAAAGGCTTTCTGAATGTCCAAGTACACTACCTCCACTGGATCACCATTGTCCACTCTCAAAGAATTCTAATATATTGGTGAGGCATGATTTCCCTGTATAAAAGTCATGTTAACTCTTCCCCATCAAATTGTGTTCATCTATCTGTCTGACAATTCTGTCCTTTACTATAGTTTCAATTAATTGGCCTGGTACTGAAGTTAGGCTTACCAGCCTGTTCCCTCCTGTGATTTGGTAGTCTGTAGAACACCCCAACTTGTGCTTTATCTATTAAGATACTAATTAAGACCTGAAGAAGAGCTATGTGTAAGTTTGAAAACTTGTCTCTCTCACCAACAGAAGTTGGTCCAATAAAAGATATTACCTCACCCGCCTTGTCTCACTGATCCCTAAGCATTCAAGATCATTTTCTTCAGAGTTACTGTGACTCAAAAACAGGTAATGCCATTTTTGACATACAGTGCTATTCCACCTCCCCTTTTGCTCACTCAATCCTTCCTAAATAAGTTATAACCATTAATTTTAACATTCCAGGTGTGTGACTTACCCCATCAGGTTTCAAGTAATACCAAATATATTAAATTTAGGCTCATAAATTACTAATTCCAATGCCTCTTGTTTGTTGCCCAAGTGTCTAGCATTGGGTACAGACAATTCAACAATTTCTTCTGTTCATGTCCTTTGGTTTCTTGATTAATTTTGTTCAAGGGATCTTGATTCTGTGCTAAAATTTTCTCTCTTTTTACCCTCCCCTTTTTTATTAGTTTCACGCCTGTCTGCCAGCTGATTGGATTCCCTTCTACAGAGGTGGAGGTCATCCAAACTATACAGCTCCATCTCCCCACAGAAGGTGGACCAGTGTTCCACAAAAAACAGACCTTCCACTCTATACCACTTACCTAGCCCATGGTTCACTTCCAGAATCGTCTGCCTTCTGTCTTTCTTCGCTTACGGGATAGGAAGGATCTCAGAAAAGATCGCTTGGGTAGTCTTCTTCTTCAGCATGCGCCCAAGTTCCATGATGCCATCTACTATCGGTGAGATATTCCGCAATGCAGTGTCTTTAGTGCCAACTTGAACCACGACCAACAGATCCTTGTCCATCCATTTCAGAAGCCTAGCCAATCTTTGAGTAACATCTAATGTCTTGGCTCCAGGTAGACAGAACGCCATGCTGTTGTCCACTTCTATGTTCTTTCAGTTCTTCTTTGTACTGAATCCCTAACAAGGATCATCTGTCTTCCTTGGACAGTTGGAGAACTCTTTGTGGGCAAACTGGCTTTTCTTACGGGTTGGGCCAAGCTGCCATCCACAGAAGTAGACCGCCACATTTCTATGTTAAATTCCAACATTTAATCTTGTTTGGGGGAAGGGTTGTTTATTTTTCAAAGAAAAAATCTCTCCAATGTACAGGAGTCAGTTGTTAGATGGTAACAGCTTTTAACAAGTAGAAAGGCATGGTGCATTTCCAAAGTGTATTATTGACCATAATGGCTCTCCATTGTCATTGTATAGTCATTTACAAGTGCAAAATGGGTGTCAAAAGCTACCAAGTCAGAATGGTAGTGTTTTGCACTCTCTTTGCAAAGGTGTAAATGAACATACAAGGTTCAGGGCAGTGGAGGACCAAGAGCTATTTGGAATGATTATGGTCTGATGTCTCCTTCTAACTAGGGGCCATTAAGCACCAAAAACATGTTAAATGAAAGGATTTGTAGTGAATAGATGGTGACAGAATTCTGTAAACTGGAAGATTGGAAGCAGATCACTTTTTCAGAGTGGTGTTTGTTGGGACTATGCATTACAGATTCCTATGGAAAGTAGTTTTTGCAATTGCAGAACAGCTGCTTTTCAAAGCTACCTTCCCTTGCCCCATAAAACTCAAATGGCCAAAGGGACAAATCATACTTTGTGCTCCTGTGGGTGGGGAAACATGAAGATCCTGGCAGAAGGATGTACTGCCCCTCAGCACTCTCTTCCTATTCCTGATCGCATGATGGAAGTGGTCCATGGATCTGTTTAAAGAATTTGTAGGTGGGACTTTGGGATGGAGAGGGCAGGGAAACTGCTTACTCTTCACAGCATCACTGATACCACCTGCCAATTCCATAGGGATTTTCTTCCTAAACTACTGATGACTGGGGAAGCACTAACTTAGGCAGGTTTCCCTTTTGTGATTTGACACACACACCCCAGCGCAGCCCAGCAGTGATTTCAGGGGCAACAGCTAGCCAGAGAACACCATGCCTGGAGTTGTATTGTCATGGAGGCTGGGGAGGAGGGGCTACACAGGAATACAGAGGCACTTGCCTCTAGCAGATCTCCTAAGATCCAGGCTGAGTGTGAGGGACCTTGCAAATTCTGTGGTGCATCAGGAAGGAGAAAGAGATGAAACTGTGAAGTGGATTTTATGGTCCTACACTATTTTTTCAAACGTGGAGATAGCTGACTATGGGGGATGGAGGTCATGCAATCCAGACTCTTTCACCTCTAGGATGCCAGTTCAAATCTACCCCTCCTGGGCCGATCACAAGTCATTTACCATGTGCTGGGTGAGCTGTTCTGAGTTAATAATTAAAGTGCTTCCAGTGTGTAAAGTGTAATAGTGTGGTATTGTCATCACTGTATGGAGGTCTGTGTGAGAAGTTATGCATTTGCCAGTGGACACATCACAAAAAAACCCTTTACAAATGGCACGAAGAGAAAACCTTGATAGCAGCATCAGCAGAGAGGTCAAGGACTGAGTGAACTGTCCCCTCCCCCGACACTCCCTCAAGACAGGAAGACGGTTCATTAGTAGGGCAGGGTGGGGAACATAAGTGGAGAACTTCAGGCTCCAGCCCCACCACCACACCAAAAAAGCAGGTCACACAAAAATATTATATTTAAAAGACATTTGAGTTAAAAAGCCCTTTAATTTATAAACATCCTTTTTTAAAATGTGCACAGCTTAGCAGATTTTTTTAATGAGTATTGACCTTAAAAAAAAAAAATCAAACAACCTCTTTGCCAGATTAAGAGTCTCAATGTTTTGCTTCAGCCGAGAGCGAACTTTTATGGCCAATTTATAAAACCCAAGAAAAAAAGCAGAGTTTTCTAATACAAATGCTGACAAAACTCTATCCATAATGCCACAAATGGGCAATGCACCGTGCACAAAAAAATCCCACCATAACCCAGAACTGCATTTGGAGAACACAGATAAAAGACCTGACTTGGGTCATGTGACAGGTGTCACTTCAGTAATGATATTGGGGGCAGAGATAAAAGTCCTCTCACTCTGGTCATGTGACACAGCTTCATTACTCTCACAGCAGGTGGTCCGCAAGGCTCAATGCCTTTATTTTATTTATTTATTTATTCTGTGATAATGAGAAAATGTTTAAACTCCCATCCCTGTGTTTAAACACTTCTTCCTGCTGACAGCAGCGGGGGGATCCCTTGATCAACTGTCAGATTGGAAAGTGCAATTTTTCTGGAAAGTAAACAGCATGTTTGCCAGTTGGAAATAATTTTCTGTTTGTTGGGACGGCTGGTGTTGGAGTGAGGGAGCCATGTCATGGCGTCTGACAAGTCAGGAATGGGGAATAAGAAACAAGCTAAAAAATACCTTTTGTACTGTGCCTCTGATAACAAGAGCCTGAGATTTTTTGATATTTCACTATTGTCATGTGGTAAAAATAAAATCACTTAAGGATTGTATATGGAAAACTTTTAAAGCAATGGCTCAGACTGAGGATGGACACGTGGGACCTACTGCTAGCTAAACCCACTGTGTTTTAATAGAAACTTTCCCTCATCTCAGGTAATTAGCCAAGATGGTCAGAGATGCAACCCCATGCTCTGGGTGTCCCTAAGCAAGGACTGGATGACAGGGGATGGATCACTCAATAATTGCCCTGTTCTGTTAATTCCCTCTGAATAACATAAAGGAGACTCTTGAGCTTCCAGCCCTCTATGTGGGATGAGACTACAAAGTGAATTTTATGGTCCTATATTATTTTTTTCAAACCTGGGGAGCTAACTGGCTATAGGGGATGGCATTGGCCACTGTTGGAGGACAGGATACTGGCTAAATGAACCACTGGTCTGACCCCGTTTCGCCATTCTTATGAAAATGAAGTAGAACTAGAGATGGTGCTCAGATACTAGGTGATGATGATTGTATCGGGAAGGGTATATTACATGGATTTGACGTCACAGCAATCATACAACGCAGAAACCATGAGGGTTAATGGAAATCAGTGGGAGTTTGGAGTGAAACAAGGAATGTAGGCTTAGGTCCTATGATTACAGGAATTAAACCCAGCTATGATGATTGGTGTGTTATGTCTGAAGTCATAGGTACATGATACCATGAAACTGTTCATAACTGCCTTGGAATCAAACAAAATATAACTTTATGATCTGTACATTTTCTCTCTTCTGTTAGACAAATATCTTTTAAATCAATTGTCATTAAAAAAAACTAAAGATACACTGTGTATAAGATTTCCATTAAAAATTATTGTTCAAATGTACATTCACACAGAGACTCACACGGCATTGTATATGCAAACAGGAGGAACCATGTTAAACTTGACTGCAATATTCAATAAACTAAATGGCACCATTTGCTTACAAATAATTATTAGAAGTTTTCATTCCACATTGAAAGTTTATTGAATTTATATTAAGTTGTAAATTAGTAATATTTCGTTTCTGAGAATGGTCCAGTGTGTCCCCTGTGTGAGATAGGTAAGAGACCTTCAGTGTACTGATGAAATGTACTGTGAGCTAGTTGTATGTGAAAATATGCTGTACGGAAGCTTTGTTCTCGCAACATCTTACTCTGGTGCCTGAATGTTAGTGTCCAAGGGACAGAATTAATTGTTTTTTTTTCCTCTTGATAAATGTCAGTACGAAGGACTCACTTTTCCCCCCGTTATATGAAGTTTTGGGTTTGTTAAAAGAAAAGTTTTGAGGCCAGATTCTGATCTCATGTACAGCACAGTAAAAACAGAGTATCAACCAGTACAACCTGGAATTCATCACTTCAGATACAGGCCCTGATTCAGGACAGCACTTAAGCACATGATTAATTGGAAGCATGTGCTTAAACGCAGTCCTGAATAAGGGCGCTCTCCTGAATTGAGCGTAGCCAACTCCTCTGCCCTTCAAGGAAGCTACGGTACTCCAGGTCAGCATAGCTGGAACAGAGATCAGAATCTGGCTTTCTGTCAGCAGTCATTAAAAATATACAATTTTTTAAATGATAACATTCATTTAGCAAACTGACATTTTGCATCGCTGAAATGGGGGATTTCCCTGGGGAATCTCTGAATCACTACAGCCGCTAACACTGAAGCAGCTCTGAACAGTAGATTATCCCTCTCCAAACCAAACAAGTATGAACAGGCCAGACATGAGGAAGGGTTTATTTGGGGTTATATAGGAAATAAACCCCCTGCTTTGCCTCAAGGCCCCCTAAAGGTGACAGCACAGAGTGTTAGTCACAAATGTTGGAAAGAACCGGGAGGATCATGGCACCAAACTGTAACTGCCTTAGACATGAGACTCCCCTGATCTCTGATAAACACTCTGACATTTGGCAGCCTGACAGCTTCACAGTTCCATAAGAAGCTTCCTAATTAGAGCCTCTGTGAGAAATAATCCACAACTTGAAGTTTGTCTCTGACTTCCTCGCTGTACTTTTTTCCTTTTTTGTTAGTTCCCATTCTCTCTCTTTTTCTCTCATTTTCTTCCTCTTCTCACTGCTTTCTCTCTCACTGCCCCTCCCCTCCATCTCTGCAGGCAGAGGCAGTGAAGTGTAAGGCAAGACAGATGTTGATTTCTTTCTGTCTCTTCAGCTAAGTACAACCATTGGCAGAAGTGCACCTTCTGCAATCTAGTGTCACCTTTGGATCAGACGGTAGATAATACTGAAGAGAGCACAGCAGAAGGTGAGGCAATGAGGCAAACATGATTCAGTATAACTAGTCTGCAAAAAAAGGCCTCATTTCATCCTAGTTTTAATAAGCTAGAACAAGAGATGGGCCTAGACCAAACCTCTGGATACAAACATTTTCTAACTGTGGGGGAGCAGAGACTGTATATTCTCATCTGGATCCAGATCTGAATTGTATCCTGGATCTGCACAACCTTGATTTTTAGTTGGATGAGAGGGTGAAATATGAAGGAGAATTTGGCAGCTCAGGCCTCTATATTTAGAACACAGCTTACAATATAAATAGTGCTGTTGTATGGGGTGGGAGGGATTTACCCAGTAGACCTGAAGAGGAGAACATATCCTTAAATGTACATGTACCATTAAAAATGTCTCTTCTTTGTGGAGCTTATCATTTTGGGGCACATTCTGCCACCTTTACTCACACTGAGTTGTACCTTACTTTCCAAGTAGTCCAAGAATCAAGCCCTTGGTGAGCACTTTAAACACAATAAGCAGTGCTATCACACGTGGAATTTGACCACATTAATAAGCAGCATCTGCGATCACAAGTTTATGTGACTTAATGGATCAGATTCAAGGGGGGGGGGCATTCCCCATTAGTGGGATAGATCGTTTTATATGTGATATCCCAAAACCCTTTACAGAGCAGTGAGACTGGCAGTACAGTCACTAACGCATGACAGCCATTCTTTCACTCAGCAGTAGCTTACTCATGGGACTGGGCATTAGAACCAGCTTTACGGAGCCAGGGAATTCAATTCCGATCCACTACTTTTTTCAAAGTAGTGCCATAGACTCTAACTCCCACCTGGACAGTCACCAGTGATGGGCAGAACCCAAGGGATTTTGGCTGAAGCTGATAAATAATGGATAGGCCTGCATATATACCATAGGACTGCTCTGCAGGTGTCAGCATTAAGTAGGATCCCAAATCCCTTTGTGGAGCTTGAATCTACAATTATTAACCATTAACCTTAGTGGAAATTAGATATTTAATTCAAAGCATCCAATGAGACTACATGATTTGTGTGAAGTCATTAACCTCTTGATCCAGTGCCCATGAAAGTCAGTGGACGTCTTTCCACTGAATCAAGTCCTCAGAGAATCAATCCTTTTAGTTACAAATATTTTCATTTGCAAACATTGCAGGTGTCATTCTAATCCTTGTAAATCCAGGTACTCCAAATACTGCACTTGTACCTGCATCTGTTTCAGAGCGATCTGGATCAGTTGGTAAACTTGTCACAAGCAATCAATGTGTTTTAATACAACTGAATGTAAATGTGCACATCTTGGGACAAAGAATGCAGGCCACACTTAAAGGATGGAGGACTCTATCCTGGGAAGCAGTGACTCAAAGAGATTTCCAACAACACATGACCTTCAAGTAAATACAGCTGTTCCCCATGGCTCATATTAACAAAGGCTACCTAAGTAGACTGTAGCTGTGGATTCTCTAAGAGACCATATTTAGTGTTTCAATATAAACTGAATAGATTTGTATTGTTCAGGTGCACTCTATCTACATACAACACTTGTAGTGAAAAACTCATTTTGCAGTTCACTAACATTACCAAACCAAAAAACTCGCTTTGAACACTCTGAAGTACTGGGAGGGCAAGTCTGTATCTATAACCAAATGCCAATGCTGTCTCCAGCTTCTGCAATGGGACATATCAAAACTAGGCCTCCAAACACCTCAATGTTTTGGAGTCAGATCTAGAACCAAACTTTGTGATGTGGGCCCCTCTCTTATTTAGTGCATGAACTACTATTAAGATTAGTACAGACACAGATGAAGAGGAGAGCACAGACTTGGGGAAGGTATTCATTCAGCAATGGCCTAATAGAGGTTTGTGGTAGAGAACACAGTGGAAATGAGATAAAGGCACAGGTGCCGACCTTCAGCTTTCCCCGGGGGTGCTCCACCCTGAGGTCCCACCCTTACTTCGCCCTTTCCCCCAAAGCTCCACCTCACCCTGCCTCTTCCCGCTCCTGCTCCGCCCCTCCCCGAGGCTCTGCCCCACCCAGCCTCTTCCCACCCTCTCCCCCAAGTGCGCCCCACTTTTGCTCCGCCCCTTCCCACCCCCACTCCTTTCCCTCCCCCCTAGTGCCTCCTGCCAGCCGCTAAACAGGTGATTGGTGGCAGGTGGGAGGCGTTGGTCGGGGAGAGGGAGAAGCTGATTGGCAGTCCTGCCAAAAAGCTGATCGGCCGGGCTCACCGAACAGCTCATCGGTGGATGGCTGGTGGGCCCTGAATACCCATGGAATCGGCACCTCTGGACACAGGCGGCAAGATGCTCTGCTTCTTATGTAGTCCTTTTTTGCATCCACTTTGCACTGGCATAATCAGAATGGGAGCATTTAACATACGCTTAGCACAGAGTAAACTATTTTCAAAAGTTCAGATAAATCAGTCCTTAGAAGACGTAATTACATTGACGTATCCACAATACCATAGAAAAAAGAGTTGCTTCTGTTTCTGTTAAACTACACGTTTTTCAGGGGGTTACCATTTAGTCATTTTAATCCACTTCAGACCAAAACTTGAAATGCAAGTTGGCAGCCCAGAGGAATTTATTTAGTAATTTTTTTAAGGGCTTAACTCAGTTTGATAGATTTAGAGCATTTTTAAAAGGTTTGCTGGTTTTAAAAGCTTAAAGGGAAACAAAGAACAAACAAAAACCAGCCACAGTGAAAAACTGAAATTTGGCAAAGGCCAAATCCTTTGGGCAAAACTGGCCCAGAAGAAGATCTGCAGGATGGATCTCAGATAAGCAGCGGAGAAGATGACTTATCTCACAGCTGCAATGCAGAACTGTGACTTCTCCAGATACTTCCATGCTCCAAATAGGGATTTCTATCATTCGAATACCAGATTGCTCTGGCCCCAATGGCGCTCCTCTAGCTAATATGGAACTCACTAATGCAGATTGTACCATCGGAACACTTGTGAAAACTAAAGTCATGTTATGAAAGGTCCTTCACACCTTGGATTAAATGCTGCTCAACAGCCTTTCCTAGATGGGAGTGCAGTCACATGTCTATACCCACTTATACCAGTGTGTCTGACAAAGCAAATATTAGCAGTCAAAAATGTAGAGCTGATTATGCAGAATCTCTGAAGGATATGCCTTCCCTAGGACTTGATTTTATTGGGAACTAAGGGTGGGATTTTCAAAGGCACTGAAGGGAATTAGGTGCCCATATCCCATTGAAAAATCACAGCTTTAGCAACAACCCAACGCAGGGCCGGCTTTAGGACCTATGGGGCCCGATTCGAATACCTGGCGGCGGTCCGGGTCTTCCGCAGCACTTCGGCGGTGGGAGGTCCGCTCCGCGTCTTCCGCGGCACTGAAGGACCCCCCGCTGCTGAAATGCCACCGAAGACCCGGAGCGGACCCCCGCCGCCGAAGTGCCGCCAAAGACCCGGAGCGGACCGCCACCGGATGAGTAAGGCGCAGGGCCCTCTTAGGCACGGGCACGGGGCCCTCTTCCGGGGGATCGGCCTAAATCCAGCCCTGACCCAATGTTAGCTTCATCCTCCCCATGCTTGGTTGTTCCTAGGTTTTCCTCCACAGAAACTTCTCTGTTCCAGACCCTGGTTTTCTCTATGCCTGAAGGAGGCCATAGTTCATCTTATATCCTGGCTATATCTAACTAAATCTACTCAGCACTAATTACATTGTCAC